CGTAGACGGACGCACACAGGGCAAAACATAAATCCCCGTTTTCGGACTCCGTCCGAACGGGGACTAAAAATGTGTACTACGCAATATTGACTTTCAACTTAATGAGCTAATTTGAATATTTAATTGATTTTGAATTTTTGTTAATATCTTGTGAAGTTTGTGAACTAATAGTTCATTTGGTATCGATATATTGACTAAATTGAATTACCATATTTAATTGCGAGTTTTTCCTAAAATTGATGCAAATTTTACCAAATTTAATAGAGATGTCCTAGCTATTAACTTTCAGTAACATACTTTCGATTTTCAACTTAATCTTCCTACCTGATTTTATACATATAGATTCATACTTTATAATTCACAGCCAACTATAATCACATCTGACAAATGGGGGCTGTCATCTTCAGATGACTGGTTTTAAATATTTTAATGTAAAATTATTTGTTTTGATAAAAGTGAACAAATATATACCTTTTATCTATCTAAAATACATATTTTGTAACATTGACCTCTGACCTGGTAGCCATTTTTTTTTCAAAGCATGTAGTCTGTTAAGGCTAAAGTGGAAGCAAGAATTTAATTTGTTTTCTTTTCCAATGAAATGCTGGTAAATCACATTAATAGTGGGAAATGTATATTCCTTGTATCATCGCTGACTACAGCTTATGAACGAGTCATGAAACCAACAAGTCATTGTCAATGACACGTCCCCGTTACGTTCATATTTGAGTGACATATACATTCAAAGCAGATCATGACCGAAATGCACCTGCATATGTACAACACATTGTGCTAAATCTGAACAAAATCCATCCATGCATGACTGAGATCCGGTTCTGGAATTGTGAAAATACGTGATTTTGATGCATTTTCGGCCTTAAAATGGCCATCATTCCGCTATTGTTAAGCAGATCATGAAACAAATGCACATATCTATTTGTGACATGATGTACCATGTGTGTGTGAAGTTTGAACTTGATCAATCCAGACATGTCTTGGATACGGATCCAGAACTGAATTCTTTAACAAAATGGCCGCCA